AAGTGAAATGCGTTTCTTGAGAGATCAGATACAACCTCTCCGTCCCTGTTTCATATTCATTGTCTCCAGGCCATACTCGAAGTGCCTAATTCTCTCTGTACACTGTACTGGGATGTCATGGTCCCTAACACACCACTTTGGATCCCACTTTGTGGTGATGAGTTCTGGATTTCTCCTTGTAGCTGAGTTGTTTCTCTAGATTAAGCTTCTGTTTATTAGAAATCGGTTGCCTTTGTTGTGTTTTTGTAACAATCAGGTTCTGATCAGCACAAAGTAACAGAGTGGCATTTCTTGTTTTGCTATCACCACAAGCAGCATATGTCTTATCTTTTCACAATAACATCCAACAAGTTTTCTAATCAGCTTATACTAAGATGTTAAGAACTATTCATGTGTGTGCTTAGACACACAAACTCTCACACACAGGAGTATGTAAAATGCATTTGAAACTGGAGTAAGCATGTGGGTTATTCTGAAAGACTGCAAGATATTGAGTGGATACTGTATATGTACTGTATATGTGGAATTTTCTGCTCTCTGTTCATTAGAACTAACTTTAATGCTTAAAAGAAAAGTAAATTTCTTCCATTACAATATGTAACGTGTACCTGTATCACAATTCCTTTGATTTATATTTCATAGTGACACTGTATTCTGTCAGTTGTATGTAAGCATTAACTATTAAATAAATAAATTTCTGCTGTGATAATCTGTATTCAGCTATCACGATTAGACTCTAACTATTTCGTAAACACAGAAGCACTGTGCAGCACAGCACCAACTACACAAATACTGTTATAGTTCAGTCAGCATTTTTTGAAGAGCAGTATCCCCAGCAGTATCTTATTCTCATTTGAAACAGGAATACTGGATCTCAGTTTTCGTTTTCAATATCATTTATGCAGTTTATCTAAAGATTGCTTCAAATTAAATGTAGAGTCTTTGAGACATACACAAGTTTTGGTTCCTTGTACAGTGCTGAAGATACAAAGCCTAAAATTCAAAGTCCACATTTCTCTTGTCTTGCCATAGTGAGTCCTGAATTCTTCAAAAGGAAGATTTTCTTCAGCTACTCCAATTGCTTATGAGGTGAGAGAATTTGCTTTTTAGAGGGATAGCCCTCTCAAGCTGATGTGGGAATCATAGCTTACTAACACGGATGACAGATGCAAGCAGGACCATCACCATCCCCAGCACAGTGCTTTAAAAGAGTGAACACCATTGTGTTCTTTTAAAAGATTACCATGGGAGTCTTTTACTGTTGGATTCAAAATGGTGAAGACAAATGTCAGCAGCTCAGGTTGAGGCAGCTCAGTGCCATGGTTTAGGATATTTACTGCAATTTTTTTCCCCAGTCAACATGCTGACATTTCAGACCAAATGCTGAAGCTGTTCCATGTCCCATGAGCTGAACTGAGAGTCTCTGACACCGTTTACAGGGCAAAGATTTCTACTTTGTGGGGAAACATCTAAAGCTGGATGAAGCCTCATTGAATTTTTCAAGTTGTACCTCCATTACTGCCAGTAGCTTTTAATGTTTAGTTAATGGAGGGAAAAAATGTTTTCCTAGTTACTCAGAAGAGATTTGTCAGCTATAAAAGCACATGGAGACAACTGATAAAAAGGTAATTCCAAGAAAATGTACTTCAAATAGATTATGAGGCAACAAAGTCAACACAGGAGGACATGTCAGAGGGCCAGCTTATATTTGCTAATGCCATACGTGTGAGCTGCTTAATCAGAGCTGCTGAATCTGGCATAACAGACAAGTGTATCAGTTTCAATAAACACCGAGAGAGATTTTGTTTCATCTTTAACACCACACACTGCAACATCACAAATGGATGTAACCAGGAAGGTACATGTTGATTCCTTAACAAATGCATCACCATTTTTACATCAGCTTCGAGGGACTAAGTTGACTTTGGCTTTATTCCTTCTGCCTGTGGTGACACTGTAGCACTGAATACCAACACAGTGCTAGAGAAGAACCTTAGAGAAAAATAATGTTCAAAAACGTATCTTAGTAGAAAAAGATTTATCAGCAAGAACTGAAAGGAAGTGTGTCTTTCGTTCAGTTATTGAGACTGATTTTTACATTTATCCACTTCTGCATACATCTTGGATCTAGAGAAACTAACAGTTATCCTGATAATATTATATGAACAGGACAACCTTTTATTTTTAAAAAAGAACTTATGGCAATCTGAGAAATCATATAAAACTCAGTGTCACGGAATTCTAATTTTCAGATATTTAGCATCGTATCTAAGCAATATTCCTACCACTTAAAAGTAACTCTGTGAAAAAATAGTCATATCTCATACATTCACACTAAACCCTTGGATGAAGATTATTTCAACAGTGCTGATCCCAAAGAGCAAATTTTACCTCACAGACTTTCAGTCTTCATTCTGTGACTCCTTATTACAATAGTAAAACTTTTATGAACTCAAATGATGCTATTAAGAAGGGAAAATTAGCCGAAGCTTCTCTGGACTTATGCACAAGACCAGAATATTCACTTCTTTGTCCCATAAACTCTGGCTACACATGAAAATAAAACATTAAAGTGCTGGTCCAGAGCCAAGTTGCCCAAATACATAAAAGCTGCAACTAAACTACAAAGCAAGCTGCTGCTGGAAGACATTAGCACTGCCCATGTAAGGGATCCATGACAATGCTGCCCAGTGAAGAACTATGCCCATTACTAGTGGAATTAATCAACTTCTCCAGAAACACGTACAAGCCATTCCTTTAGAATAGAGTATCTTGACCTTTCAAGAGCCAGTATTTCACTTTCTAGCTATTGCCAACAACACGGAAAGGAGGAAAACTACTGTGGAAGTATTAAAGAAAGTTCAGCAATGCAGCATCGGTCATCTGTCAAACCTTTAAAGGCTCAGAGCAGGCCACTGACCAAAGACTGCCCTGGATATTCCAATTACATACTCCATGGCCTTAGCACAAGTAAAATGACCTCCACGTTGTTCCAGAAAATCTCTGCAGTGATTTCAATCCAGTGGCCCACAAAAGATGATGACAGTTTTCAAAGAGCAGAAATAAACATATTGGAACATCTAATTTGGCTCTGGTAAAACTCACATAGAAGCAGTCAGTGTGGAAGAGGAGCTTCTCACCTCTGCAGGATGCCAAGAGTCTACACTCTCCCTTTCCAGCATTTATATAGGAGCATCACCAAAACAGACGGAGAGGCAGCATGCCCCACATTCTAAGTGTGTGATCATAATATTCAGCACTTTGTTGCTTTTTCTTTACAGCTTTCAACAAATGCATAATTTTTATAATGACATAATAATTGGGTCACAAATAAGGAATAGGGCTACACATCAGGGAAACAACGCCTGCACTCAAGCCTTCCACAAGCAGAGAGTTACTTCAGGGTGAACTCAATGGGAGACACTGATAGGAACTAGAAGAGCAGCCACCACTAGTGGTCAATCACTCTGAATGGCAGCATAAAAATTTAGATGGCCACAACAACTGCTGGAAAGGAATAGTATCATCACAATGCATGCTGCTTTTGCTGTATTTTTGAAGGGATGCAGTCTCAACTGCTTTACTGTGCTGTGCTGAAGTCAGTGTTATCTATGTGAGTAACGGCCAGATTAGCCCTTGATCTTAAGGTTGATATATGTCTATTTTCTGAAGCAAAAGAGTAGGCATTAAAATGCTCTCACAGTCAAAGGGATGCCAGCCCAGGAAAGCAAGCAGCAGAACATTATGTGCCCAACAAACTTTAGCAGCATGAACATGAGGTATCTAACAAATCTCAGGGATTTTGTTGGGATTGTTCACCTGGACCCAGGCTTAAATTCATCCCAGGTGGCACTTCTGGCAAATAAGAATTCATTATTTTTTAATCTGGCTCTATGTTTCTTTCTCCTTTAAAACGATCCTGACAAACAATCTATATGTCTGTGACCTCCACCCTGGATTACTATAACTCACTACGTGGTTGAAGATGAATGTGTGGGTAAAGTACGGGCTCCAGATGTGACTGCTCATCTTTTCCAGTGCTCACATCATTAAAGAGCAAAAGACCTGCATTTAAGACTCTTCATAAGCTCCCAAGTTGTTTCTAAAGCAAAACCCATAAAGAACTGAGGCATTTTATGTTATTCTATAATTCTATGACTTCAGGTTTTTCATCCCCACAATGTAATAGGTACCCTGTTTCAGTCACAGGGAGAGTTCAGAGCCTTAGACCTCTAAACCAAGCAGCCTGGTTGCTGAAAAGCCTACAGTGCACTACACACTAAGACATATCTGCAAACCTCCAGAGTTTAAAGGTCTCTTAGAGTCCAAGTCAGGAATTCTTCCAGGGAGTTATGATATAGATGTCTAGAACTTTCAGAGAAGAGATAGCTCTTCTAATCTATACTCTATATTCTATATAGATATTTTATTTGACACAGAAGTTGTGATAGCAGTGCAACCAACCACCTTTATTTAAGAAATTCGTAGTTGGTTAGTTACTAAAAAAGTGGACAATTCACTTCCCAAACTGGCCTATAATTAATGATTTCATCACCATCTTGAAAGAAAAAAAACAACACCTTTTCTACTTTTTTATTTCCTCATCTTTCTGGTTTCAGGAATCCTGAATTCCTTCCTGGATAGTGGCACAAATTCAGACTGGTTAGGAACAACGTTCTTTTTCAGTTCCATATGTTTCCCAGTGGTAAGATTTGCTGGTTAGGGCATCCCTGAAGAAAGTGTATTTGAACCTTGTCGGGCTGATCTTCACCTCTCATCAGTGGTTTAGTCTGAATTTCAGGCCAATTTTTAAAAGGGGTTTGCAGAACAACTACTTTTTTCCCCAAGAGTGACTTCACTTTCACTCTTTGAGAAGCTCAGTCTTGCTCACAGGATCTTGGATGCAAGAACACTCACCAGTCTGCATCAGAACTGGGTACTTTAGTCTAAAATGAGTTTATTCTGTGTACACACAGAAACAAACTGAAAGGGGAAACTTTACTGATAAAAATATTGTTAAATATTAATAATCACATCATCTTCAGAGACAAATAGCAACTGAATTAGGGTACCTTTAGGATGTCCGTGATAGCACCTCATTTCAACTTACCTGCTAACTCTTGCCTAGGCACTACCACTGATTCCTCACTTAGAATTTTAAAATCTGTGGATGGTTCAAGAAGCAGTTTTATTAAAGTTCATGTTTTGTGCAATGAGCCATAGTAGTTGCTAGATCACAAAGACCCCACTGAAACATGGGAAAATGAGGACAGAACATTTGTTGAAGTGATTCAGCTATACATCCAGAGCAGATCAAGCAAATCAAGGAATCCATGTCTTTAAAGGTACTTGCAAGTCTTCCTACTGGATGCCACAAGGAGGGGTGCAATTCAGTATTCTGGATTGATACATAAAATGTATTCTGCCTCATCTACAAAGATTTCTTTGTTTATTTTTTGATTCTTACCATGAGAAGAGTGAAAAAACACAGCTTATATTGGTTTTGACTATCACTACAGCATAAACCAGATAAAAGGATAAAAGGATTATATTAAATTGATATCTTTGAGCTACATGGCATGTCAAGTTTGATTTTGTTAAGCTGTGACAATTTTAAAATCCAGCAGTGGCTAAAATATATCAAAAAAGGTTCACTTGAGAATTTCAAAGGCAAGCTAAGATTCAGTCTTAACCTAGCAGATTTGAGCTCCACACAAAAATGATTCACCTTTTCCTTCTTTACATGTTATCTTTCAGATTCTTTCATCTTACCTTTTTCCAAGCTTCCACATTTTGGGGGAAAATTGAGAATATAGAAAAAGATCATAGTCCACGGTTTTATCAGATTATTTTTCAGAAAAAGAAATATATCAAAGCTAAGTGCATAGAGAATTCTGAAAAGAATCTACACAAAATCAGTAACAGTACTGATGCTTCAAATTGAAAAATAACAATATTTTCATGGAGCATTTGAACAGTTTATGTATATAAGGCTTTTCTTAGCATTTGTCAATTATGGATCTAAAAATGACAAAGCATCTTGCTGAACCAAGACAACTAAAACAGTAAAGTATCACCATCACAAGAGCACAGAGAAATATTACAGATGCTTCTCACAGTGTAAGCAAGTCAAGCAAGTCCAACTGGCTAGTACTATCCTCAAAAACGAATGGAAAATGTCAACTCATAGACTACAAAAGAAAAAGTCTAGTTGTTCAGTGAGACCAGGGACAAAATTTTTGCCCCTTCTATATCACTACTACCCTGAATGACAGTTGAAAACCCTGCCAATTTTTAATTGCTTCATATAATTAGGTTATAATACAGCTGATTAAAAAAAAAGCAACCACAACAAATTTAACATATGTAACAAATAAGAAAATTTGCATTAGATTTGGAGGACCTGGAAGGCTGCCATTAACCATAAAGTCTTGGAACAAGATAAAGTCATCCATATAGTTAACAGATGTTAAACAAAACACGATAACAAAAGCGCTATTGCTAAAAATTTCTTACGGTGAATTCAGATCTGGATCTGTGTTCATAACAGAACTGAGTTGACAAACAAAAAATACAGATTCAGATAAACAAAAGACATAAGAGAATGGCCACACACAATGTGGGATCTCATAAACTGCAAATATTTGTACTACTCTAAAAGTAATCTTGATTAAAAGTTAACTATGTATTCACTGTTTCCAACCAGTTCAACTGAAAAAAAACCCAAAAACAAAATTCAACTTAAAGCATGGTAAAATGGCCTTCTGTTTATACAGTTTTCTCACCTGTATAAGTACCAAGCATAGCGTTCTTTATGACAGTCATTTATTTCATACTTATTTATAAGAATTTTCAACAAGACACTACAGTATGGATACTCTTTCCATAACAGAAAGTTATATCTGGGTTCTATTTTAGTTCTTTGCTGAAATGGTTTTCTTATATTTGGTTTCTTGATGTGTGTCCTTGGTCAAGGTAGATGACAAATGTAATTAATCTGCAAAGAAAATCTGTTTACTTGATAGTTCCGGTATTGAAGGAAGCTTGTGCAACCTTTGAGTTCGTTTTCTTGTTCAAAGCTGTACAGATGAAGTTTCCAGCTTCCATCACGGTATAAAGATTGACTCCCTGAAAAATAGAGGTAAAAATCATTAATAATAATAAATGCACACACACTGAAAATGCTTAAATGTCATCTTATTTTGCTCTAGGGCCTAATTTTTGGAAAGGGTCTGACTCATAAGTCATTAATGGAGCTCAGTAAAGTCGTGGTAACTTGCACAACAGTCACAGCTTCCTGTTGGTGGGAAGTTCTACCAGTAACAGGGTGATCTCTTACTCTACTGATAGTGAATCAAGTACTATAGTAATAAATTTTGAACTCTAAAGAATCTGGAATAAAGAATCAGAATAATAAATGGAAGTTGGAAGAACAATACATTGTCTAAATACGTGCTGCAGTTACTTATCACCAAGCGCTAAAATACTTGATGCTTGTAAGTATTCCATCTGCATTTCAGGAAAATGGAAGAAATCTATTGGCAACTAACATCAGTGAGAAACAGGATTCTGCATTCTCTTGAACAAATAAAACCTTCTTGAAAAAGTTCCCGTCAGTGCAAAATTACTGTTTACACTGGTAACCCAACTGTGCAAAAACTTGCAGCTGCTTGATCAGTCCTAGCTAAAACGGTCTCTTGAGCGACTCACATACACTTGAAGTTTTAGAGTTAGATCATATTAAGTAATTCAAGCTCTTGCACCAAAGACTGGGAATCAGAAACCAGTAAAGCCAATAGAAGGGAGGCAAAACAAGACATTCAACTGCCAATACACTGAGTAGCTATACAGAACGGGGAGTAGTGTGTCAGTCAGCACTAAAGAGTGCAAGACTTATTACACCAGAAAGATATTCTCATAATACTGCACTGAAGTTTATACCAAGACTCATTTAGTTGCTCAGAATTTTTAAAAGATCTAGAGCTTATTTCCATGTTCTACATTAAACATGTTCTACATTAAACTTAATCTTACAATTAACCTTACCAAGAACATAAGTTCTTGGAGTTGGCTACAAATGTTAGTGAGTACAGAGAATACTTCACAAAAATGGAATAAAAAACATTTGAAAAACAAACCAAAAAAAAGGACTAGTTTCCAATGAGCTACAGTAATCAGCACCACCTCAAGCTTATTGTTCATTTTTAAAGAGTTATAACTCTTTATATATATATATATATATATAAAGATATATATATATATAAAGATATATATATATATATATAAAATATATATAAAGATATATATAGATATATATATAAAATATATATAAAGATATATATAGATATAGATATAGATATAGATATATAAAATATATATATATATATATAAAGAAAGGGTAATTTCACTCATTCTGTTTTATTTCATTGGTCATTACTCAGCTTTAGTTTGTAGGATACTATTGTACATAACAGTCTAAAAATTCTTAAGAGCATCTGTGCTTTTTATTAAGAAGAAGCAAGGTACATTCCACCACAGACATACTTGGTGGTTAGGTTATGTAAGATGCCAAAATATGAAACCAAAACTATACAAAAATCACATTTTCAGCACTGTAACACTGTAAACATGATGTTACACATGTTGATAGGAGCATATTTACATTTCATATTCATTAAATGGAACATAAGCATATCTGCCTTTATATTGTCACTCTTATATGGCATGAACCCAGGTGGATTACAATGAAGTAATCTAAAAACATAGCTCACAGATGGGTGTAGGAAAAGAGCAGTGACAGATATTTGTAAGGTTGTTGAGTCAAAATAATGTCTTCAGATAGATAGTCAGACACATACTCAGGTGTATTTGGTAATCATTTCATATATTCAGAATTATTCCTTGCTACCATGAAACACAGAAACAAGTTTCTCCAATAGCATCGATGAGCATGAGTAAATTACTTCCATCAGAAAAGCATCTGCCAAAAAGCACAGTTCTTTAACTCTCGCTGAGTTCAATTAATTGGTTCTCATACAGCACTCATAAATAACAAGTCCACTATCTGTATGAACTTCGTTTTCATTGTCAGGATGTGAGGGTAACAGTATCTAGTCAATAAGCCTTTCTTAGAAGTGTTTGTTAACCAAACTTCAAAGGCGTTGTAAGCACACGTACTGTTTACTATAATTACACAGGAACCATATAGAAATTGTCTTTATAAAATATACAGGGTCCCTATAAAGTTTAGAATCAAGAATATCCCAAGTTGGAAGGGATCCATTAAGATCACTGGATCCAACTCCTGGCTCCACAAAAGGACCACCCAAAAATCAGGCCATACATCTGGGAGTGTTGTTCAAATGCTCCTTGAACTCTGTCAAGTTTGGTGCCATGACCACTGCCCTGAGGAGGTTTTTCCAGTGCCCGATCACCCCCCAGTGAGAACCTTTTCCTGATGTCCAGTCTGAACCTCCCCAATGCAGTTCCATGCCTTTCCCTTGGGTTCTATCGCTGGTCAACAGAGAGTAGATCAGCACCAGCGCATCTGCTCCCCTTCATGAGGAAGTTTCATGAGCATGAATGATCTATGACATTATTTTCTGTCCATTTACCATGGTACAACCAATCAGTTGTAGATAGACTATGCTGTAAATTTCACATTTATCCTTCTAAAGATTCATTTCACACATCATATCTTAGTTAGGCAATGTGAAGAACAGTATATAGCAAATATTAATTACTATTCTTATGTATCTAATCAATCTGAACACAGTAACATGCACTAAAATACTGCCCATCCTTTGGCTGATACTTTACATGACTTTAGTCAACAAAACGAGTGCTTTAGTGCATCACTGAAAGGAACAAGAGAAGGATCTCTTTGCAAATGGACAGCATTAGTAATTATAATTTCATTTTTATGCCATCATACAAAAAGGCCATAATAGATTTTTTTCAATGATTATTTTACAGAAATGGCCATGGTACAAAAACCAAGACTGCAAAGAACAGAACTCATATACTAAAAGAAGAATTTTGAAACTGTCTACATCCACAGATTTGTCTCTCATCCAGTAAACCACTCTCTTTTTAATGGGCCAGAAAAGAGTCAAGAAGCAAAGCCTTGTGCTTTGCTATTTCATAATTTAATTTTTTTTAAAAAAAAGAGCACTAAATGTTTGAGGATGAGATATCTATCTTCATGGGATTTGGCATTAGCCTTTAGAATAAGCTAGATTCCAAACCATTCACAGACTAGTAAATCTTATCAACCAGACTGGAACAAGGTACATTTCTTTCAATTAGGGTGTTTTTATTCAATTGATTCCTTTTGCTGGGAGTCGGTCAGAAAAGTCAGTGGGTATTTTCCCCAGACAAAGAATATTCTGAAAGACTGTTTAAACAGTACACTAAAAGGCATGGTTTCTCCTCATTCTAAATAACTGTTATTTTAAAAGAATGTGCACCTTCTTCATGAAAAAGTCACCCAAATCACCTATGAACAATTCAAAACTGAGTCCACTTGTACAACAGACACTTGAGATTAAAACTTTTCTGAACAGGTATCTGACATCTAACTAGAATTCCCTAAAAAGCACATGGAAGTAGATGATCATTACAGTGAACTCTGTAAGGCACAGAATATGATTTTACAGTGGTAAAGGGATGTTAATTTCAGAAGGAAGTACCATGATCCTATTATGTCAAGCAACTCTGTTAGAAAGAATGCCATACTGAACTTCAATAGACAAATAATTCCTCGTAACTTAGATCTTTGTATGGCAGATGTCAGACTTCAAGCTCTTCTTGAAGTGGCTTAAATGCAAGCCACAGACATTACAGTTTTGTCAGCTCCTCCTACGTCTAAATTCAAGGTAAAATCAGTGCATAGCTTAAAGCAGTAAAAATTCATTATCATAGAACCATAGAATCGCTCAGGTTGGAAAAGACCTTAAAGATCATCGAGACCTAACCAAACTACCCCAATTGAGGCAATACACTGACTCTAAGCATTTGCTACTGTGCTCCTCATATCTCCAAGGTAAGGAAATAGGGGTTATTCAAATCTCTGCCAAATACAGTTCTGATCTAGATTGCTTACAAACATCATTCATGTTTTGACAAGCCATGTTAAAACACTGACCTGGCAAAAACTACCATTTGCATCCAATATTTTACTGCAATATGCCTTAAAGTCTTAAATACAAAGTAAAGAAAACTTACTGTATTGATCCCCAGACCATTAAGCATGTATATCACATCCTCTGTAGCCACATTTCCAGTAGCACCTTTTGCATAGGGACAGCCACCCAAACCTGCAACAGACGAATCCACTACAGCAACTCCCATCTGGAAAGTAACAAACACAGAAAGTCATCACTATCAAGAAGTATTATTTATAATTGTTCATAAATAGCAGACTACACACGTTATTTACCATAGATAAAATACACATCTCCACAAATGGAGGCATTCCTCAGAGGAAATTTCTTATAACTGCCTTAGTCCTGACATCTTTATAAGGTAAAATTCTCCAAACACAGGATGTGGAACAGAGAACTTATGTGTGATTTCGGCAGATAAACTGATTGCTGTTTTAGAGCCAACCATAGTTCTGTGGTATCTTACTCCTTATATCTCCAAATTATTTTTAAGCCTGTATCTAGTCTGTAAAGGCTTTCTAATAACTAAACATAATCAATACATTATTCAAATATGTAATTTTAAGCATATGTACAAATCTTTGCAAGTTGGAAGTTTTAATACTAGCATCTGATTTATGTGTCATTCAATGATTTTGGTACATAAATACTCTGTGTTTTGCCCTTCCATGAGGAATGTCAGTAATAGCATTTTCTTTTCTCTAACTTTCTTCTGGTTTCTCTTATTGGAGGTAATGAAATAACCATGTTAACAACTCTTTGAACTCTTTTCTTAGTTTTTGGTTTAGATGAGGACTATGAGATATTTTCACCAAGTTGAATGCTTCAATGTCAGGAAGGATTACTTTGGGAACATCTTTTAAAAGAGTTTGAGCTCAAAACAAAGAAAAAAAAGCAGTAAAGAGCAGTATCCTGGTGACTCTGACTCTTTCTTTACAATCTTCAGAAGTCTAAAAGAGAATAGTTCCAAGTCCATTAAATTTCACACCCTGGCACAGCATTCTGAAATCTGACTGTTAAGTGTTAAGTTGCTTGGAATTACTCATTAGTTTGGGTATCATGGAAGCTCTCCATAGGTACAGGTTCTGATCTTGACTTTGAGTACTTTTTAACGAAACACATGTAGCATGTTATCAGAGTGTAAAACTTTCAAATTCAAATTAAGACTTAAAAAAATAGCCAACTGTCTTTAATTCATAATTCTCTGATTCGGGCAAGAGTTTGGATTAAGGTTATTTTAGGATGGTTTTTCCAACCTACTGATCTCTTTCTCTCTCCTGATCCTCACTCAGGATAGTCACAATAAAAAACACTAAAAACAATTACTGACTTTCCCCAATAGATAACACTACATTTCCTACGGGATAAAGACTTTCCTGGGAAATTGGTCAGGCAGAGCAAGGAACTCGAGGCTGTAAGCGCCAGCACTTTGTTCAATTTCTTCTTTCAGTGACCAGATTTTAGAATAAAGCTGAAATGAGGAAGCATTTTTCTTCTGTTACATTTGGCATGTGATCCTAGCCACTGGGCCTACCTTGCCAGAGAAAGCTCTTTATCTTTCCCCTTGTAGATCAGGCACCTTTGGAAGCATTCAAGCTCTAGAGATAATCAAGAGGTAGGCAATGGTATTAGACAAAAGAGGTCATCAGGTCTTCAGAGACACCAGCATCTCTCTACCCTAAGCACACTAGAGTGTTCTCTCCTGCTAGGGCTAACTACCTAAAATTTAAGCAGACCTGCACCAAAAGTTTAGACAGACCAGATGTGGGTGGGTGCACCCAGAATGAGGACAGGAATTCTTGAGCACAGACAAGCTTTCACCCCAACCCTGATGTTGAGTCCTGAGAGATTCAGAGGTTAAATCATTTCTGTTGTTTACATGTGCAAGTTATTAAGACCATCTTAGGAGTATGACTGCAGTACAAGCTTACTTCTGTTGCTCGCATTCATACAAGTACTTAACAATTCCCATAGGCTAAACTGGGAGCCTGAGTTTCTCCTTCACAGCCACAGATACAACTAGCTGGCAAGGCAGGCTAAAGATGAGTTCTGGATGTTGCAATTGCAAAGTACCTTTCCAAATATACCCATCAGCTTCACCTTACATGTGGGAGGTTTTAGTTCTGAAATAAACTTCCCTAAGGTTTTGTTGTACTTGCTTCTAAGTTCTAACAGTGCTTTCCATAGTTCTGCCATTGGCCTTTGAATTTGGCTCTTTGAAGTTCTGGCAGTTCTGGAGAGGAAAAATAAAAGAGGAATCCAATGAAGTGTTGTGCTATGTCCCGTTCTAAAAAGGGAAACACTATCTCAAGCTAGGTAGTTGCTAAAAGCCTGTAATAAAGACCTCAAATGAGACAAGGCACATAACCATGACAGGCAAGGCAGTAAGTACTGTTTCATATTGCTCACACAATGAGACTTTCTGAGAAGGGATATTGTACTTAAAAGTATACTAATCTGTGAATTATGGAGTGAATCACCCAAGTACACGTTTCGCATTTCAGTCACTTGTCACACACTTTGTTTGTATAACCCACCGGTCAAAAAAATGTGTTATACAACACATCTGTGTCCAATACACAGAGGGTATGCATTTGTGATAGCTTTCAACTGGAAATTCTGTTTCTTTCGCACTAATTGCTAAGATTCATACATTCACTCTGGATGTCATTGCTTCGAGCTCCAAAGTGGTAACTGATGGGTTTGCAAGCATCTCTGCAGAATCATGGAACAACGAGGTTGATCATCTAGTTTAACTGTAAAACACACCTAAGGTCTGTTACTGGAAAGCTTTAGGGCATAGTGAAGGTTTAGGAAGAAAAAAGGGAGATTACAATATGGATGTGCTATTTCAATGCAAACATGCATCCTCCAACCATGCTTGCTCTCTCAGTCCAATTTTGAGATTCCCATCAGAAATAAATATTTCCATCAGAAATGTCTGTTTGAGCAGTAAAAAGTTAGAAGAACACGTCCTTTATGGAGTTTCCTCAGCTATCAGCTTAAGTCTTAACTGTTAGAGAATTCTTCTTGATGCACTTTTTGTTAAACTTTTACAGAGTGATAAAGTTATAGGTAAATTATGTGCTGAGGGACATCACAGCTGTTAAAAGAAGATCAGCAAACTCAGGACTAGCTTTAGTATCATACAAACAGTCATCTTCTAATTCCAGTGAATTATCTCATGAAACACTTTCCACTGAGCAAACATGGGAAAAATATCAACTAAATTGGTTTTGGTGACAAAGTAACATCTGAATACAGATATGCTTGTACAGATAGCTGTGACGCCACTGTAATGTTGCATTTGCAGTGCAAGGTCCATATCACTGGAGTATATGTTTACTATTCTTTGTTGGAAGGGTTTGCGAACATATGGAGGGGTACAGGATATCACAGCAACATAAACGAAATACACATCTTTGTTTAAGCAGATCCTAGGACTCTCAGGCAGCCTCACTGGATCAGTTCAAACTACTTAAACTGTAAACTGGAGTAAGCTCCATTTTGCCTATGTAGGCATGAGCTTTCTGCTGGCTAAGCAGTGGTAGCAACAACTTCCAGATGACAGATGATTACTGGGAGACAGTCTCACTTAAACAGCCAACTATTTTCCCTAAACAGAGAAAGAAGGAAGTGTAGTCACAGTTTTAAATAGTTAACAGCCCCAGAATGGCAGCTTTCATGCTAGTTTGGGACACTCTGAGAAGCAGGATATAAACTTGTCAGTCTGTATCTGCATTAGGATGGATGTGCCATTGAAACATTCAGCAAGTTGTAGAGAAGGTCTTAACGATGTATATAATACATCAGTTCTGACTAAATTCAAATCTGATGATTTCAAGTCATTTCTCTTAATATGCAGTGAGTGGGTCTCTGCCTTTAGAATTCTGTTCTTTAAAGTCCTTTTTAGAACAGTTCAGACTGCCTGCTGCACCATACCGCCATTTAAGCATCAGGCTCAGCAGCATCCATCTGCTTTTGCATGTGGTACTTCTTTCAGTGATAGGCATCTACAACGTGCTTTCTGATCCATGTGCAGAATCACTGCAGTTCATCTCCAGTATGGCCCCATTCAAGAAGTACTTAAATAACACATACTCCAAGATCCATTCTAACAGTGCTAAAAACAGATGTTGGAAAACATCCTTCAGCAGCACTACTAACTAATTTGGAGGTTAATATTACAGCACAGCCTGTCCAAGCTCAGAGTCTGAAATAGCACCTAATAAATAACTTCTCTGCAAGTTTGAGCAGCTATGAAGCTATTTTGCTTTTGCAGCCCTTAAAAGCAGAAGGGGCTCTAAAAGGAAGGCAAAAAAATTGATAGGAAGTGTAAAATAAGGCCTCATCCTTCAACACATGTACAATATTTGACAGGGTTTTAAAGGAGATAATGAGTTTCAAGCCTTTCAGTAATCTAAGCTTGCTGTCAATATGACATCTTTAAAAAGCCCACAGTCTCATTGTCACTTCCTGACAGGTACTGAGCTGTGCTGAGATTCATGAGACATTGCCCTGCAGCTATTTCATAGAATACATCCAAGAGGAGCACTCACTGAGCCGTTCACATAAAGATGTATGTGGGTGAACAATGGCATGTCTTCCCGGACCACTTAAATGTTCCAATCTTTCTAAAGACTTGTAGAGTTTTGATCATCACTAAATTCCTGATAGCAGTTCCTGAATATCTTCTAAACTTCAGCTTTGGCTAGTATCAATTCACTCTCCAGAGAAAGCAGAAAGCTCTTTCCTTCTGTCCCGTGTTAACTTCCTAATTCCCCAAAGAGAGAGCAAGGAATTCAATTCATCACCTTTGTCAAATAGCCAATTTTAACAGGAAACCAATATTGCCAGTGGACAATAAATGTTTCGTATTTCTCAGTTTGCTTTACTGACTCCCCATAAATTCTTGTTGTGACAGTCAGCCTTCTTCATTACCCATCTTTAAACCTGACTTCACTTGACAGAAATGTGTGTTTGTCCCTTTCTTAAAAATGGCAAGATCAGCATCAGTAACTTGAGGGGTGCATAAACTGTATATCAGAAGCAATAATCCAGGTCTGTCATAAAATTTTTTAACGATGAGATTTTGAAACTATAATATATACTCTTTTTCTGGCGTTTAACTTTCTTTCTTTCTTTTTTAATCAATTGCATTTATCAAGTACTTAAAAGATGTAGCTA